AGCCAATAACGAGTTTGTGCAGTTTACAGCAGATTTTCACACAAATATGCTTTTCTAGTAAGACCTCTTACTATCCACACTTGAGGAAACTCTGTATATTGTAAAAAGTAAGGTATTCCATCCCGACAACCTGATGGATGGTGGGGGGAGGCTGAGTAAGCCAGGCTTCCAACCACACTTGGCTTGGTTTTCCAGGTGCCATTTGGGGTGGACCATCAGGGTTCAGCCACCACACTGGCCACCTTCTTTCACAGCGACCTTGGTGGGAATACGCAACACTAAACGGCCTCAACACCATTGGGGAACTTCTATTTTGGTATCAAAAATATCCCCAGGACATTTATAGTTCAACTCAGCTATCACAATTATCTGTAAATGACTCTCAACCTGCTCTAGAAATTAAAGCACAAACATCTGCCACCAATTTGTCACTTGGTATCTTGTGAGGTGCAAAGTAAAAGTAATAGTCTTCAGTTGTAATAACATCACTGCCCCAATGAAGGGCCAACAGAGGCAGGAGAATGAGGAAGGCCAGCTCTGCTGTGATGACAAACTGAAATCACGATTGGAGGGATGACAGTTGAGGTTCATGAAATGGAGTCAGGTGGCTACTGAGGACCAGATCTCAGACAGGTCTCTGCCCTACTGAGAACCTGAACTTTCTATGAACTGCACCAGGTCCAAGGACACCACCAGCCATATTCAGAACAGCACTTGCCAGCTGCACCCTTAAGGTCTCAAGCTCTCCCCTTGTAACCACGCAACCATTTCAGATCCCACGTGTCCTTAGTTAACAAGCATCCTTACTTCTCACCAGCTCCAATTCTAATTCTTGACAATTTATGTGACCCTGCAGGTTTTCTGCCTTTATAAACTTCCCCCATTTTGTAGTCTGGTGGAACACAATTCAAATTCTTGAATCTGTGTCTCCCAGGCTGCAGTCCTAACAAACCCCAAATAAACACCTTTTTATTTCAATCAGGTCTCTGTTCTGAAATTTTGGTTAGCAGCAGGGACTTAAATACACAAACCAGGTAGAATGCTTAAATACCATCTTACCCCCAAATGGATTTCAGCTGACTTAATAGTATGACACACTGAAGGTAATAACCTCTAATAAAGTAAAAATAAAAGAAGGGGTGGAAGGCTGAGAAGATATGCCAGCCTGGTTTCCCTTCCCTCAGGGCCTTGCTGAGGCATCTCAAATATCTAGAGATCAAATAAAGAGTGGGAGTGTGTGTGCTTCCCTTAAAAAAATTTTGGGAGGTCGGGCTGGGGGTGAGGGGTGGGTAGAAGTATTTTTTCACCGAGAGAGCACAAAGAGGAAGTCCAAAGCCCGAGGCTTTTGGTTCCAAAATTTATGTAGGTGGAGAGCATTTGGTGGCCCAGCGTGGGGCGTGGGAGTGGGCCTCACCCCTGGGAAGGAGACCTGAGACTCCGGAACTTGGGACAAGTCCCCCAGCCTGCCCGAGTGGCAGACCTCAGAGCGGCAGGAGGGAGGGCATCCACTGCTGGTCCCCACGGTCCTGGGAGCAGCATGACCTCAGCAGACGAGGTGTGCTTCTTCTGCGGCTACTAGACAGACTGCAGACAGGCGTCTGATCTGAGTTTTAAGCCTGGCTTCCTAGGAGTTGGCCCTGGGTCAGAGCAGCGCACTGTGCAGCCCGTGGCTGGTCAGAAGTTGTGTGGGAGCCCCCGGCCAGGGGGCTTCCTGCATCTGCTGATGGATCTGGACACAGCTTGGGGAATGTTGTCGAGTCCTCTCCACACCCTGGTCTGACGGCCCATGAGTGAGGGTGGCTTCGCCCACCCTGCCCAGCCCCCGGAAGCTCCTTCTTGGCTGCCTGCTCGCTAGGCCACCCTGTGGTCACTGTCTGCATCCCGGAGCTGTGGGTCCTCCTAATTGTCCTCCACCGAGACCTCCACTACTTTCCACGAGGGGTCCTGCATGGAATTCTCCTTTGTTCCGATAGAGTCGGTCCCCTCAGACGGAGCTGCAATGTTGTGGACAGGATCTCTGGGCTCCGCACGGGAGCTGAAGCCAGAGGAGGGCGCTGGCCTATGTGCCCCAGCAGGGACCCCAAGCCTCTCAGCAGAAGCCCCCTTTCCGGAGGAGGGAGGGCCTCATCCCGTCAGCCGGGGGTGCATTGAGGAAGGGAGCCCCATCCTCTGCACACGCTTGCCTAGAGCAGGACTTCTCAGCACACAGCGGCTAGAGGGCTGGGCCCAGCCCGGGGAGGACAGCCTGCTCGGAGGCTCGAGGGGCATCCACGGCCGTGGCTCAGATGCCACCACCCGCTGTTCTCACCAAGATGTAGCAGATTTTCTTGAATGAATGATTTCCCATTTGCTGGAGGCCTTTAGAACGTGTTTTAGAAATGTTAAGTGATTGTTTTATATCCTTTTCTCCAGTGAAATCGTTGTTAGTTGGGAAGAGAGTTCACTCTGGAAATCAGTCTCCCAAGCTTAAGTGTTTGGGTGAATCCAAAAGAAGGCGATTTTTAAAAACCCGTAGGAGGCAGGTTCCTACACATATATTTAACTCGGAAAATTTAATTATTCTGAGCTGATCTCTACACACTCACCATGTGTGTATTGTTTATTTCACAGATAAGGACACAGATTCAAAAGTTATGGTAAATCCTTGGAGCCACAGCTCCAGCAGTTTGGAGCAGGTGCAGATACACAGATCTGACACCAAAATCTATGCTCTAATAATGCTTCCAGGCGACCCAATCCCAGATTCAGCAGAGACAGTGAGGAACATAGAACGCACACATAAACACATGCCTGATTCTGAAATCTGACTCTGCTTTCTGCTTCCACCACCCAACATTTTGTAATCTCTGATTATGATAATAATGTGAAAATAACATAGCAATTAACGTATTAGTCACTTACTAAGTGCTCAGCATCTGGCAAACACCATCTGACTTAATTCTGCAGGGGCCACCCCAGAATGTCTCTTGGGCATGTGGATTATTTCCAGCTGAAAATAATCAAGGACCAAGAGACTCAGGAAGAAATGCTGACCTTGCCCCTAAATGCCTAAAGAACTTAGATAGAGGGTCTGCTCCTGGAATAGAGCTTTCAGCAGAAGTATCTGCAAGAATATGGGGGTGGGGGCACAGCTCTTGGCAGGGCCTGCACATCAGTCCACTGTGTGCCTGTCATCTCTGCTGGCCCAGCAAACACTGGTTTAGCAAGCGTCTGCTTTTCTGTCTCCTTGTGAATTGCCTTCCTCCCCTCTGAAGTCCTAAACCAGTACCACCACAACATCCTCTCTTGTCTTTAGCTGAAGGTGGTATTTAAGTTTTCCTGGGTCTCTCCCATGTATACTTGTTATTAAACTTTTCTGTGATTTTCTCCTGTTAATCTCTCTCATGTCAGTTTAATACTTAGACCAGCCAGAAGAACCTAGAAGGGTAGAGGATAACGTCTTCTTCCCTGACACCTCTACCTCGCCAAGTAGTCACTGCTGTCCCGGGGTTAGGGTTTGGACCCCAAGGCACAACCATCACACACGAAAGGCCAGGGCCACAACGCCTCCTGCAGAGAATTACTACTGACTGCTGTCCAGGTCATGCAGCATTGCTACAGAAATGGTACAGAGACTTAGTTCTTTTAGGAATGTTTTACAGGATCCATAATTCTTACTTTTATTTTTAAATTTCAGAGTTAATTATCTAAATTATAAAGATGACTCTTTTATTAACAGCTTTGTCCTTAGCCAGAATTCCTTTCATACAATTAACTGAAATTCCTGCTTGTTATAATTTAAGGTCTTCACCTCGGTTTTTGCTTTGATAGAAACTGGCCAATTCTGTTTACCAATTTGCCTGCAATACAACTATTATGTATGTGATATCTGTTCACAGACATATGGGATCTTGCCTCATAAAGTAATAGCAAAGAACCTTTTTTATCAACATTTTCCCAAGAGTAATCAAATTTCTTTAGGGACTGTGATGCTTAATTTGACGTGTCAGCTTGGTTGGGCTGTGGTAACTGGTCTGGGGTCAAACACCAGTGTCGATGTTGTTGTGAAGGTATTTTTTAGAGGTGATTAACGTTTAAATCAGTAGACTTTGAGAAAAGCAGATGACCCTCCATAATGAGGATGGGCCTCATCCAATCTAGTTGAGGGAATTAAGAAAAAAAGACTGGTTACCCAAATAGGAAGGAATTCTGTCTCCAGAATGCTTTCCGACTCAAGATTGTAACATCAACAACATGCAGAATTTCCCACCTGTTGTGAGCCAATTCCTTAAAATCAATCTCTATCTATAGGTGTGCACATCCCTCCACACACCACACACACAGAGACACACACACCCCACAGACACCCCACACATACACACACACAGACATACACACCCCACACACACAGACACCCACAGACACACACACTCCCCACACCACACACACACACCCCACACACACACAGACACACACACACACACACACACACACACACACCTATGGGCTGTTTTCTGGAGAAGCCTGACTAGCACAGAGAGGAAGAAGTGGAGAAGACTGATTCAGAGAAGCAGAGAGATTTCTGAGATACTTTTCTATGCTCACCCATGATTGCAAACCTCCATTCTGGAAGTAAGGGTTATGTAAGGGGAACTCAGTGTGCCGGCCCAGCTGTGGAAACTGAATCGTGTCCTATAACCAAACGCTTCATCCTTTTTTCTTGAGATAGGTTCCTGCTGTCTTCCTTTCTCTTAAATTTCTACAATGCTAAATCCTATTCTACAGAGAAGGTGCTAAGCTAGTCACAATAATTGGATACTTAACAGATTTATATGTCAACCAGAGTTATAAAATAAAAGCCAGAAATCCAATGTATCATCAAAGTGCATATTGAATCAGTTTCTTTCTCTTTTATGCTTGAGAATAAAAATGAGCTAATGATTGACTCCTTGAACTGAAGCACGCTAAGCACTTTCTAAGTCAACTCTGAGAACAAACATTGAAAGAAAACAATTGCTCACCATTTATGAGTCTCTGTCAGTGAGTTCTCCTCCGCTTCTTGGTCAATTTTAGCTGAAAATGCAAGAAAAGAAAACGAGATGAGATAAATGATAACTGGTTATAACCATCTCAAACAAAACAGATCCAAATAATGTGAAATATATTTTAACACATTATTAACACTAAGGTACTCCAGATAGAAGTTTATTTTAAATCTATGAAGAGATATGATTGAATAGGTTATATTTAATTTTCATTAAGCTAATACTACTTTCTAAGTAATTTCTTTAGATCAGTCACATTAACCTGAGAAAACAAAACACTAGAAAACTTGATATTCACATCAAATTCAAATCACATCAAGGATTTAAATGTCAATAATTGGTTGAAAATAATTCTCTCAAGCAAAGGTCCAAAAACCAAGTAAAAAAACCTAAATAAAAATGGTTTGTGACCTTCTTCACCAGTGCTCTCCACACCAGATCACAAGTGAACAGATCCAGAGATTATTTCCATGCAGATGTAAGATAAAATACTAACGCTTTCTACTAATTCCAAGTGATGAGATGACAGTGCATGCATTTATTTGCTATTAGATTTGTCTAAAAATAAAGAATGGTAGCCGGACACAAACCCAAAGGTCAAATTTGGGAAAGAGATTACACCATTATTTAAAAATTATTTAAAATAACACAGAAACTCCCATGATATATGTATGGCAGTGACCTTCACATTTTTTGACCAGTAAGCATTCTAGGAATTTACGTATTAGTTCATACACATGTATTTGCCATTGAAAGCTTCAAAAATACTCCTACTTCTCACCATGTTAATATTTTCAGCCTATTCCATTAGATCTCAAAATGTAGCCACTAAGTTGATTTCACGCTTCAGTAATGATCAGTTTGAAAATCACTGAGCTACTGGACAAAAAGTTTAAAAATAAATGAAAAAGACCCTGGAGCTAGTGAAAGAAGTTGTCTTTTCATAACCATTCCCCTTTGGGTCACACTCACGGCCATTTGGAGAAATTAGAAGACAAAGAGGAGCAGAGCAAACTGATTCTAAAAAGTGGAGCTGTGAATGGAAGCAAACCCCTGGTCCCTTGGAACCGACAGTGTCTCCATCAGGACTTAAACAGTCATCAGCATGGGCTGGTTACTGTATGTTTGAAGGCCTGCACAACGTCTGCACAGCCACTGTGGAGTGTTGTTGGCCCCTCTCTGCAGGACTGTGCCAATTCTTTTTTTTAATTTTTATTGGAGTATAGTTGACTTACAATGTTGTGTTAGTTTCTGCTGTACAGCAAAGTGAATCAGTTATACACATATATGTGTCCACTGTTTTCTAGATTCTTTTCCCATGTAGGTCATTATGGAGTATTGAGTAGAATTCCCTGTGCTGTACAGTAGGTCCTTATTAGTTATCTATTTTATATATAATAGTGTGTATATGTCAACCCCAATCTCCCAATTTATCCCTCCCTCCCTTACCCCCTGGTAAACAAGTTTGTTTTCTACATCCATGACTGTCTGAATTTAACAGGGATACTTGACAGCAGAGATTTTTCCCCCTTTCCCCTTTTGTTCTTTAGAGTATTTACATAAATCTACAGGTCAATCATTAGTTATATTAAGAAACAGAATACATGTTCCATGACTTCACTTTGAAAAGTCTCCAATGTTAATGTATTTTCTTACAAAGCCTGCTCTGGGCTGCTTAGCATGAAAATGGTTGGCTTCGGTAAGTAATTCTAGAACCACAGAAAGTTTCTTTAAGGGAAAATAACAAAGCACCACAACGATTACCATTTTCAGGAAGGACATTCTCCCAACTGCCTGTGTATCTTTTTTTTTCTTTTGTAAAATATAGAGATTAAGACTGAAAAAGAAAGAAAATTTCTGGACTGTTTTAGAACCATCAAGTAAATGACATATGAAATTTAAAACGCCCTAAAATTAGATTCCAGAGATCTGTGTTCTACTTGTGATTCTGTCACTGAAATTAGCTTTGTAATCTTAGGTAAATAATCTGTTAACATACATAAAATATTTAGCATAGTGCCCCCAAAAGTTAGTGGGGACTAAATAAATGTTCTTTGAAAATGCTGGATCTCAAGCTCTTGAAATTCCTAAAGTGATGTTCAGGTTTTCAAGTAAAAATGGAACATGACATATGAACAAAGTTATTTCTATAAACCATGCAAACTTCCAATTGCTAATTATTTCATTCTCTGACCTATTTTTTCAGAAACATAAAAATTATTTTCAGTTAATTTCTAATGGCACAGAGGGCTTTGTGACTAGTTTTGAAAGCCAGTGTTACTTTTAGCAGCATTTTCCTACATATTTATAATCTTCTATTGATAAAGTTTATTATACCAAAGTATGCAAATTACTACTTCAAGTAAGATTGATTTTCCCTTTCTTTATAGCACACAGATCATTTCTTTTTTGACATTTCAAATGGGGATGGCAGCCTTCTAGTTTGTTCATGACAATTGCTAACTGTAAGATACCTAAAAAAGCATTTAAAATAGGCCAACAGGGGAGGAGCTTCAAGATGGCGGAAGAGTAAGACATGGAAATCACCTTCCTCCCGACAAATACATCAGAAATACATCTACATGTGGAACAACTCCTACAGAACACCTACTGAACGCAGGCAGAAGACCTCACACCTCCCAAAAGCCAAGAAACTCCCGACGTACCTGAGTAGGGCAAAAGAAAAAAGAATAAACAGAGACAAAAGGATAGGGACGGGACCCGAAGCAGTGGGAGGGAGCTGTGAAGGCGGAAAAGTGTCCACACACTAGGAGCCCCTTTGCGGGCGGAGACTGCGGGTGGCAGAGGGGGGGAGCTACGGAGCTGCGGAAGAGGGCACAGCAACAGGGGTGCGGAGGGCAAAGCGGGAAGATTCCCGCACAGAGGATCAGTGCCGACCGGCACTCACCAGCCCGAGAGGCTTCTCTGCTCACCCACCGGGGCGGGCGGGGCCGGGAGCTGAGGCTCGGGCTTCTGTCAGATGGAAGGGAGAGGACTGGGGTTGCCAGCGTGAACACAGCCTGAGGGGGACTAGTGCGAGACAGCCAGCTGGGAGGGAGCCTGGGAAAAGGTCTAGAGCTGCCGAAGAGGCAAGAGACTTTTTCTTCCCTCTTTGTTTCCTGGCGCGCGAGGAGAGGGGGTTTAAGAGCGCCGCTTAAAGGAGCTCCAGAGACGGGCGCGACCCGCGGCTAACAGCGCGGACCCGAGATGGGCATGAGACGCTATGGCTGCTACTGCCACCACCAAGAAGCCTGTGTGCAAGCACAGGTCAGTATCCACACCTCACCTCCCGGGAGCCTGTGCAGCCCGCCACTGCCAGGGTCCCGTGATCCAGGGACAACATCCCCGGGAGAACGCACGGCGCGGCTCAGGCTGGTGCAACGTCATGCCAGCCTCAGCCTCCACAGGCTCGCCTGCATCTGTACCCCTCCCTACCCCTGGACTGAGTGAGCCAGAGCCCCCGCATCAGCTGCTCCTTTAACCCCGTCCTGTCTGAGCGAAGAACAGACGCCCTCGGGCGACCTACACGCAGAGGTGGGGCCAAATCCAAAGCTGACCCCGGGAGCTGTGCGAACAAAGAAGAGAAAAGGAAATTTCTCCCAGCAGCCTCAGGAGCAGTGGATTAAATCTCCACCACCAACTTGATGTACCCTGCATCTGTGGAATACCTGAATAGACAATGAATTATCCCATATTGAGGAGGTGGACTTTGGGAGCAAGGACATTTTTTTTTTCCCTTTCTTTTTTTCTGAGTGTGTATGTGTATGCTTCTGTGTGTGATTTTGTCTGTATAGCTTTGCTCTTACCATTTGTCCTAGGTTCCTCTCTGTCCATTTTTTTTTTTTTTTAATATACTTTTTAGCACTTGTTATCATTGGTGGATTTGGTTTTTGGTTTGGTTGCTCTCTTCTCTCTTTCCGTTTTTTTTATTACTTTAAAATTTTTTTAATAATTATTTTTTCTTTCATAACTTTATCTTCTCTCTCTCTCTCTCTTACTTTCTTTCATTCTTTCTTTTCTTTCCTTCTTCTACCTTTTATTCAGAGCCGTGTGGATGAAAGGCTCTTGGTGTTCCAGCCAGGCATCCGGGCTGTGCCTCAGAGGTGGGAGAGCCAAGATCAGGACACTGGTCCACAAGAGACCTCCCAGCTCCACGTAATACCAAATGGGATAAAGATCCCAGGGATCTCCATCTCAACGCCAAGACCCAGCTCCATTCAATGACCAGCAAGCTCCAATGCTGGACACCCTATGCCAAACAACTACCAAGACAGTAACACAAACCTACCCATTAGCAGAGAGGCTGCCTAAAATCATAATAAGGCCACAGACACCCCAAAACACACCACCAGATGTGGACCTGACCACCAGAAAGAAAAGATCCAGCCTCATCCACCAGAACACAGGCACTAGTCCCCTCCATCAAGAAGCCAACACAACCGACTGAACCAACCTTAGCCACTGGGGGCAGACACCGAAAACAATGGGAACTACGAACCTGCAGACTGTGATAAGGAGACCTCAAACACAGTAAGATAAGCAAAACGAGAAGACAGAGAAACACACAGCAGATGAAGGAGCAAGGTAAAAACCCACCAGACCTAACAAAAGAAAAGGAAATAGGCAGTGTACCTGAAAAAGAATTCAGAATAATGATAGTAAAGGTGATCCAAAATCTTCAAAATAGAATGGAGAAATTACAAGAAACGTTTAACAAGGACCTACAAAAACTAAAGAGCAAACAAAGTGATGAACAACACAATAAATGAAATTAAAAATTCTCTGGAAGGGATCAATAGCAGAATAACTGAGGCAGAAGAACGGATAACTGACCTGGAAGAGAAAATAGTGGAAATGACTACTGCAGAGCAGAATAAAGGGAAAAAAATGAAAAGTAATGAGGACAGTCACAGAGACCTCTGAGAAAACATTGAATGCACCAACATTCAAATTATAGGGGTCCCAGAAGAAGAAGAGAAAATGAAAGGGACTGAGAAAATATTTGAAGAGATTATAGTGGAAAACTTC